CGTACGTAACGTGAAATGGCGGAATGATTTATGAATTGGAAATTATTTGAAAAGATGCTGTCATATTCTAATCTATATATTATTTTCGCATTTTCCTGGACCTACTGAGGAAAACCACGATATACCTTAGTCAGGATAACACGTGTCTCGGCCCCCACCGTTATACGAACCCTCCGTTTTACCGCTTATCACTGAGGCTAGCTGCTAGAACTCTGGAAGTGCATGCGTAGTTAGTGAAATTGTGGTTTAGATTGCACCTAATGGCTGTAACATACAGGACTGGATCAGCGGGAAGGTTATCTGTGGAAACTGTAACTAAGAGTAGGAATTTCCCAGTTGAGATTTCCACAGAATTTTGATTAGTGCACACAAAAAAATAAAATAAGACATTGCACCCCACGTACTGCCGCGGAGAGATCAGCCTACGCATTTGTCATCAGTGGGAGGACTGAACAGCTCTGAAGGCCTGAACCTGGAGTTGATGACCATGAAATTAATTTACAGTACATTAGAATGAATATTGTATCCGAAAAATGACCTTGTATTTGCAAGTCCTTCCTTGAATTGGCTTCGGTAATTGAATTGTTCGCTGTGCTTTATTGTTGCTTGCTCGACTCGCATTTCTATCCTGAAGATGGAGGCTGTACGTTTTCCGAAACATCGCTGAACTCCCACCAAAAGACAGTATATGGTACTCCGGAACTACGTTAATTTTGGGGACCTTATCTTGGCCTATCAGTCTAGGGTGAAACAGTGAGTGGGTGGGGACGAAGTGCACCATGGGCACTATCACAGTCTGTAGGTCTGTAGGGCCCGTTATCCTGTTTCAGTCCAGTTTGGAGTCTTCCTAGCATCCGTTGCCTTCAGGTCTGAAACACAGTATTTGCTGTGGAATTCAGTGTGTTGTCGTTCTTACCAGCTTTCTGACAGGTTAGTGTCGTATCCGTCAATCACAGCTTTTGTTTTCAGCAATTCGTGTTTATTGAAATGTTACTGCGCTAAATGTTTCCGTCGTTTTGACCATCTTCAGGCGTTTTTATAAACAGTAAAATGTATCACCGCTCGTTACTGAACTGCGTACGTATTTTTTTTTATTGTTAGTGGGGTGGGACTAGCAGTCCCTTGTACTGCGGCCAGTTCTGGCCTATTGTACCAGCCCCAGATGATAGGTGACGGTGATTGTGGAGCAATTGGTGGAATGAAGATTGGCAGGGGAAACCGAAGTATCCGGAGGAAACATGCCCCAGCGCCACTTTGTCCACCACAAATCCCACTTGACCATACCCGGGATCGAACACGGGCCGCCGCGGTGGGAAGACAGCGACTAACCGCTTGAGCTATGGCGCGGCCATCTGCGTACGTAACGGATGCGTTTCTTAGCTTGTAAAATGCGAACCAATACATATAAATACAAATACATATAGGTCACAGTGTTTAAATGTATTAAAATATTTATCAGCGATCAGTAAAATTTCTTAAAGTAAACATAGTTTTATTAGTTTAGTTAGAATTATTTGTTTAATCTAATTATGGGTAGATTTGGGTGTAAGTATGTGGTGAGTTTAAACCTTTTCCTTTTTATTTTTATAATAACCTGTGTGTACCTTGTTATCAGTGTAATTTTGTTGTTTCTACTGAGTAAGCTACGATATTTCTTGTAGGTTATATAACGACACTATTCAATAATAGGATGACTAATTAATATGAAAGGATTTGGAAGGGAGTGGCCGTGGCCTAAATAGATAAGCCTACAATGCCGCCAATTTCCTGGAAGTACTGAAGAAAACGACGAAACAGCTTCTTCAGGACAGTCGATGTCAGTGCTGAGATTCGAACTACCGAATACAAGTCCTCTGAATCAGTTTGTTCGGCCGTTCTTGTCGACTGTTCTAAGTTTCTTGTTACTGTTCTTGTGTCTTCTGCGTTAAGTGGTACATATGCAGTTCTTGCGTTACATCATTGTTTATTTTCTTATCTATTCCACGGTATCCTGCAGCAGGTCTGAAGGACTGTACTTCTGACTCTTTGGCTGTCTTACGCTTTGCTGGAGGAGCACAGTTCGGTACTCACACGACAGTTTGTAATCAGCAGGGCCCGGATTTTGATGACATGTCATCTTTTTTTCCTTGTATCCTATGCGATGCCCTTAAATATATAAATCTCGGATATGAGCTGCTGGTTAAAGAAATGTAAATTTTATAGGATTTTTTTTGTCGTTTTTTACATTTTTAGGTTTAAGGTCATTTTTTACATTTTGGGCGTAATTTTTTGGTAAATTTTTGGACTTTTAAGGGTATTTCTTGTCATTTTTGGCCATTTTAAGGAATTTTTCTTTATATGTTTTCTGAAATGTGAATAATATGGAAGCGAAGTGTTTTTTTCTCTTTCTCCCTTAGGTTATTTTTCTGGATTTTTCCGTCATTTTATAGGTCATTTTAAAATATTTTCAGGTCATCAAAATCCGGGTCCTGCATATTACATTTTTGGGTCATGTTTTAGGTCATTTTTCTGGATTTTTTCCGGTCACTTTATAGGTCATTTTTTTAATATATTCAGGTCATCAAAATCCGGGTCCTGGTAATCAGTTTTGTTATCGAGTGCATGTTTTTTTTTTTAATTCGCATATTGGAGGGTGGAGTCCAGTTGGGTCCACTCGGCACGGCGGCCACTTATTGGCCTATTGTACCTGGCTCGGGTGATTATGATGATGGAGAAGTTGGTGGATTGAAGATTGGCAAGGGAAACCGAAGTACTCGGAGAAAACCCGCCCTAGCGCCACTTTGTCCACCACAAATCCCACTTGACCGAACCCGGGCCGCCGCGTTGGGAATCCAGCGACTAACCGCTTGAGCTATGGCGCGGCCTCTAGAGTGCATGCTTTGTCTCATGTAAACTATATACCGGTACAGACTGTTTCCTGAACTTCTGTCATAGCCTGTTGTTTGACGTCCAAGGAGAACTTATTTATGTATAGGTTGTTTAACGACGCTGTATCTGAGACTATATAACGTCGAGCGGTGGAATGAAACTGTTGTATTGTGTATTGTGAGGCAGGCTGGATAAAGAAAACTGGATTTGCGGAGTAAAAAAGCCTGCTTTTGTATTTTTCATGCACAAAATTTTAGCGCGCTATTTATAGACATCCCAGCACAAAAGCAAATTACCATAAAGAAATAAACATGAGAACCTGTCGCGACATGATCTGGTGTGAACCAGTTTCATTCCCAGGTTACTGCAAAGCGTATGGAGGTTACTTGCTCTTTGTGGTCACGATCCAGACGTTTTTCTTGTGAAGGCAATGATGGATAGATACAGACTTCTAATGGAGCCATGCATGTAACAGCAAACAATTTTCTCGGGATTGTGTCTTTAAGAGAAACTATTTTTTTTCTTACAGTGCGTCTTTTTGCGGAGACAATGAGGGTCATACAGAAGGACAGACATTTTGCTATTGTATATATACGTATATAGTAAAATTCCAAATGAACGCTGTTTTAGAGTGGAAATGCGGTTTTATTTAAATGACCTACGCCATAAGAATTGTGCTCTGAAGGTCACAGGAATGACGTATGTGAGTCCAAGGATCTAAGATTCAGTAAATATATTTAACCACCATGAACAATCGAATGAAAAAATTCTGAAATTGGTTTGGAAATTTTTGCGCACGGGAACGTAGAACGTAGAAATTAAGACACGTGTCTTTTTGATGGTGTTTGGCCGTCAGCCCAATATACGTGGCTGTTTGCCGGTTATCGTAGCATCCAAGATCAGTGAGTTGAATGAGGGTGAGTGGCACTGAGGAGCCACAATTAGACACAGAATATTTTGACATGACGTCTGAAGGCCGGAATAGTGGAGCCAACGGAGACGTTTATTGCTAAGCAATGCTCGGTAAACATATTCCCGCTGCAACGAATACGTAAGTAACAGTCGAGGGATATAATGATGGAAACGGTGTTTTCTCTTGGGTCCGCCCCGAAGCTATATAGCGGGGATCCCAGGCCAATTGAGAGTTAGATGAGAACCGGCAGTCGATGATGATTGAGAGAGAGTTGAGTGCTGAGTGCAGTTGAGCTCTGTAAAGGATAACTGACTAGAGATGGCGCTATAGTTGAGTTGAGGGAGTAGCTGGCAGGCAGTTTTGAACGATAGTCGGAGAAGGAAGAACCTTAGCTCGGGAAGTTGAAGAATCTCCATTGTTAGAAACCGTTGCCAGGAAATGACTGGTGAAGACACAGCAGGCTGGAAGAGGCTTAGCGGGTACTGTGGTGAACTGTAAAACGTGGAGATTAGCGGTAGCGATGTATTACTTGTAGTTCTGAGTGGTGTGTACGAGTAACCAATATGTCCAATATCAAATTCATACCCCATGTATAGTTACACCCAAATACGTGACAGTAATTATAGAGAACTGAGACAATAAGTTCTAAGAAACTCCGTGGTTTTAGTCCGCAAACGAACTATACCGATCGAGCGACCGGCGAAGTTAGTGCCAACTTTAGCGTATAGAGAGTGTCGCGTGGTTAGCGCAACGAATCCACACGGCCGTTAATCTCAGTTTTCTAGACCGGAGCGGCTCTTTCCTTGAAATAGCTCCTCATTTATCTTAACGAGGCTGAGTGGACCCCGTTCCAGACCCACTATTTCTCAGAAAATCTGGTAGCGCCGGAAATTGAACCGGACCTCGGGATCTGTAGCCAGGAATTCTGAACACTAGGCCAGAGAGGCGGTCAAATAATAAGTTCTGTCGTATTCGTAAAACTCTGAATCTACATTAGGAAAATGTTCGTTTCGAATTCGAGGATACCTAAAGTTAGTTTATTCCGAAACATTGGTACCTAAGTACCAAAATACACTGTGTCATATCCCAAAAGAGTCTGTTCTGAATACAGACCACCATGAGAACCTGAGATCTCTGGCTAGTATACTGTATAGCATTTCCTTGTCTGGCAGCAAGGATCACCTCGCAGTGTACTGTATATGTCCTGTGTGCTCTGCAGGCCTCCAGGAGCTATGGGGCCACAGTTCATACCGGCCGACTCGAACGACGAACAGGACCGACTTCTGAACGAGCTGTTCATGCCACCGTTCAGGAAAGGCTACGTCAGGGTGGGCCCTAACAAAGTACTCCTGCCACTGTACTACCTTGACTATGCTGGACGTATAGAGGACATGGAGGTGCGGGACAGTGATGTATGGATCGTATCTCACCCGAAAGCAGGTAGGCTGTTCTTATGGCCGGCTGAAGCCTAGGTGTAGATGTGAGAACAATATTAAAATGGATTGATCTGGCTCGTGTAAGGAATGAAACTTCGGGTTCCATGAGAGGCGAGGGATTTCTTTACCTATTGAGCAACTAATATCTTTGGGCCCTATTACACGGAGTAACTTCGTGGCTTCGATCATTTGTCCTTCACACGGAAACGTGTAAACAGATTAATCCTATGTTTTTTTTTCATATGTGCATATAAAATACGTGGGTTGCGTTCCAGAGTGGGTATTGACTCTAATAAATGTAAGAATTGTGATTTTTATGATAATTCAAAATTGAAGTGCCATTTAACTAACATATATGAAGCATTCGAAAATAATTATCCATTAGCTAAATAGTGTATATACATTAAAATGTTATTTCATGTAGTACTGACATTCTGATAAATCGTACCTGATAACTACTTAACGGTTATGAAGTAATGAGGTTGCAGTTTGATTGAGGTTGCTTGGAGGTGGAAAGAATAGGGGTTTCACCCAGTTTCCTCTGATATTTGGTCAGTAACTGAACCTGATATACGCGAGCCACGAACTGAGAACCTGTCATTACACTAAGCCAGCTGAGCCCCAACCATCTCTCACGTGTTCTAAATTACCATTATGTGCACATTACAACACAAAACTGACCTTCGTGCGGTAATAGGGCAATGGATGTTTTTTCGTCAGTCTGCGTTTGGTTACGATTGTAGGCCTATATATCCAGACTGTAAGTTCCGTAACGTGAATTGCCTTGAAATTAGAATTCATAATAAAATATAATGAGGTTTGAGTGCTTGTGTTGAAACCTCACGGTAGGAGGAACAGCAGTTTCAGTTATATACAATTAAATCAATTTCTATGTGGTTTCTATGTCCTTTCTGGTGCATTTCTTGGCCGCAGCTGGAAGACAAACAAAACTGTTTACTCTGTAATAAACAGTTGTAAGCAGTGAATAGTTTTACTTGTCCAAATTATTCCCTGTTGTGTGTTGCCACGGGACCCTACTATTAGCCAGTTCAATCCAGTTCCCTTCTTCACAACCAATTTCTTCCACATTCGAGGGACCAGTACATCAGAAATCACATATGACATTGAACTGGCTCAGAGAATGGTTCACAGTCAGCAAGAGAACTATATCGACCGAGCGACCGCCGCTTGTCTGCGAAGTAGTGCCAACTTTTGCGGACAGAGGGTGCCGCGTGGTCAGCGCAACGGATTCCCACGGCCATTAATCTCGGTTTTATAGACCGGAGCCGTTATATTCTTGAAATAGCTCCTCAGTTATCCTCACGAGGCTGAGTGGACCCCGTTCCAGACCCACTACTTCTCAGAAAATCTGATAGCGCCCGGAATCGAACCCGAGAACTTTGACTCTGTAGCCAGGAACTCTGAGCACTAGACCACAGAGGCGGTCAAGAAGTACGAGTACACTGGGGAAATATCGTAGAATACTTTCATGTTTAATTATATATTGTAGTTGACGTGTTAACCAGTGTCGGATTCTGGTGCATATATCTCTAGAGGCCCTCTTGTAATTTTCCCTATAAGCAGACGCTCGTTGTACGTTAGAATATGAATGGCATATGAAGGGATTTGGGACCTTTGTGAATAAAGCAGAAACACAGCGGATCTTGTTTGAGTTTAACGAAGGACGATAAGAATCAGAACAGTATTGAAGTTCATTCACAGTGGAACAGGATGCTGAAGTACAGCATCAGGAAAATTTAGCTTTGAGTCTGATGAAGACCGCCATTTAAGGCTCAATTGCTCCTTCAATGACTTGTGTACACATCGGCAGTAACCTTGGGGCTAATCTTAGAAACAAGTAGTGCCTGAGACGGGTAAGGTTAGAGAGCTGCAAGCAAGATGATCGGCTGTCTACGAAGTTTAACCTTGTTCACAGCAGCTATACCAGCAGGAGTCCTCGTGACAGGCTTCTTTTGTTTACCTGATGGTTCTAAAACCGCCAGGATCAGGCAGTTCTGCAGACCGAAAGGGTGAAATTCCAGCGGAAGCAACGTACGTGTATGACAAGTCAGCCAAGTTTGCCCCTGCAGGTATAGAAACAGCAGGCAAAGCCTGGGTGGGAGGTGCTGAAGACTGGCCACGTCTTTTCCACAGGCAGCGTGCGTTGCTCCGTAACATTCCGAGAGAAGGGCGTGGGGGATAATAAAACAAACTCCGTGGCTTTAGTCCAAAAGCGAACTATACCGAGCAAGCGACCACCGCTTGTCGGTGAAGTTATTGCCAACTTTAGCGGATAGAAGGTTTCACGTGGTCAGCGCAACGAATCCCCACTGAAGTTAATTTCAGTTTCCTAAATAATAATAATAATAATTGGATCTGCCAACAATAGTCGCGGGTTCAAGTCCGGATGGATTGGATTTTTTTCCAATTGACCTAATCTTTCCAGCCGCACAATGGCCCTGGGGTCGACTCAGCCTCTAACAGAAATGAATACCAGGAATTAATTAAATAATTTTCGTTGGGAGTAAAGCGCGGCCGGCGCGTAGGGCTGACAATATTACCGCCATCTTTGAGCCGATTGTCTAGAAAATGTGGGAGCCTCAACGTCTCACAACCCTATGGGCCTTCACGGCCTGTTACAGGGATAGCTTTACTTTACTTATTATTCAGAATAACTGTGTGAAATTAGTATTTTGTACTTTTTCCATATTAGGTGCTAGGATGATTTGTGAGAGCTCTTAACACAATCCCTTGTTAGAGCTTATTTCCCCGGTTATAACGTAATTCGTGTTCCTTACGTGCAAACGATGTGTATGGACAAAAATATTGAACTCCAACAGATAACAGGAACCTTGACAAGACACTGCAAAGAGCCTTGTATATAAACGAACGTGATAAAATTTACTAAGTTTATGTAACACGTTATGAAAATAAGATATCATGGCTGTACCATGACATTCACATTGCTTGTTCCTGAATGTTGGTCACTGCCTTTATCATTGTTTTTTTTTTCATCTGGTTAAGTATTCAAACTAACATCTGTCAAACTGATAAATACATTATACTTGGCACTGGACTTCAACAGAATCCAAGGTCTCTAAGTTGTTCTTATGATGAACAAGAAAAGTAGCTGCAAAACAGTGACAGATGGGTACACGGTTGTCGAGTGTGATCCGGTCACTTACAGCAGTGCCTTACCGGCACTGCACACCAAGGCTCGAGCGAACATGGCTCCCGGTATAACCAACGACGGAAGCTGTTCGCAACATCTGTTTGAGTGTCTCTATTTTTAGCAATGTTCGTTTTACCATAAATATGTAATAACCTTCTCTATATAATAAATGGGGCTTGAAGATGCCCTCTATCTAGTGCTGTAATCAAGAATCATGGAGCTATACCTCCATTCCCCATACGCTTTCTCGGCGTAGTGTTAATTAATTAAGCATGCGGACAATTTTACTTATTTTACCTTTTAGATCATCGCATTTCAATTTAATTTCTTATTATATATGACATTTCGTTAGGCAGAACTGCCAGAAAACGTTAAGATTCTCAGACAAAAAAGAAGGAAAGAAGAGAATGCGTAAAACGTGCCGCCCCACATGGCCTTTGGCTTGCCTGAACTGTAGCACACGCCCTCCCAAATATCTTGTTAATCTGCTCAATTTTTCTGATGTTTGAAACAGACGTTCTTGTATACATATATGAATAATGAATTATTGAATATAATACTAGCACAGTTTGTGAATGAATACATAAAGCCTGAATGCGCATAAGCTCTTTTCTTCTTGTTCTTTACTCTTATTGTTAACACATTCATACGGAGGAGTCGGGCGCTCCTCCTGTCAAGTCGGGCCGATTCATGGCCCATGAGGTCGCTTGACTGAAACGCTGTCTAGAAGTCACTGTGCAACTGTTAACAATTTTGCGATAAATAATACGCAATTCGATGTGCCTGAGGCATTAACTACTGGTATATTTTATTTTGTCGGTCTGTGAAGAAGCCGATAAGCACATTCCACTTTCTGTGTGTGCCGCTCTCTTCCAAGTTGTCTTGACTCACGATAACGCGTTTATCTAGACAGTCAGTGACATCATTCTGTGTTACCGTGACTCTGAAGGCCGACCCCGGTCGATTTATGTGGTGTCATTTGGCTGTGCACCGCGCCGAAATAAGCTATCGCTTGATCGGCAGTGGCACTGCGGTTGTAATCACCCACGGAAAGATTTCAGTGACCTGTGACCTGATAAGCAAGAGTTACAGTAAGATACAATGGTTCTTCTATGTTTATCTGATACTTCCTTTCCTTACAAAATATAATACGTATTAGTTAGTTAGTTATTGGAGAGGGTAGGTTTCCCCATGCACTTAGACCTGTATTGGTCCATTGTGCTTCCCTCTATGATTTCTACCAGTCTCTATATCCTACCGGTACTGGTGCTTACCATCAGTCCCGCCCAGCCAGCGAGACCGGCTCTACTAGCTGAGAGGTATCTATAATGCTTCCCCCATCTACCAGAGGTATTAGAGACTGCTGTTGGGCGGGAAACGTCCGTAATTTGGCTCAGTGACCTCCTTTGGAGATATGAGGTTCTTTTACGTGCCGTAAAGCTACGACACGGGACCCACGGCTTAAAGTCCCTCCCGGAGGACTTGTTCCCTGAATTTTTCCGCCCTTAAACATTCGACGACCTCCACCGGGTATTTGAACCCGCGTACTACGAGTCATGAGGTGGGAACATTACCTCTAAACTACGGAGGCCGCTCTATAATACGTATTAATCGCTAGGTGACGTGCCTAAGAAAAGTCAATCAACTTACATCAGACAGCACCACGTCACATTCCAGAAAACAGTACACTTCGTAGTCACTGCTATATCCTGCGCTCGGGCTGACTAGGGAACACCTCGTCTAATGGTTTAGTTTCGCGCGCTGCTACGCAACGAATCTCTTGTTGCCGCGGGGATTCAACAATTTTGCCTCGTTGGGTAGGCAGTTTCCTA